TTGTATCCGGATGGGTGTGCGGGGCCGGCGCCGACTTCCCCGGACCCAATCAGAACCACACGGGGCTGGGGGAGACTATCCCTCTTGCGTCCTCGTGGTGCGGAGTTGCCAGGAGTTGCCGGGGCTCTTGTAGGACAAGAGTGAAGAGTCTCTCTGGCAAAAGAAGTCGAAGGAACGCCAGGATAGGATGGCCTCGGGGTCGTACTACACCGACACCACCTGACTCGGAGCTACCCCGAAACTGCTCCAGTCTTTCTGCCCCACGATCCCTCGTCATATGGCGGGACAAACTTGAGTGAGCTTCACGAGAGGGAACGGGTGCTCGCAGTCTGCAGATTATTTCTGGCGTTTCCCTCGGCCTTGCGTCCGACGTGTTACTTCGCGTGGAGAAAGTGAGGACGAATAAATAACGACTCAACCTTGGTGGCTGGCAAACTGATTGTACCCTCTTGCTTCTCTCTCTTCACATTCCTTCTCCCCTCTCTCCCTCCACCCCAAATCCGTGTCTCAGTCTATCGTTACCCCTCATCCAAACCGCCACGATGGCCTCTCAAAGTTTGTCTCTCCAGGCCGAGGAGGGAGTTCACGACTATGAGAACCCCTCCGTCTTCAGGCGCAATACCCTTCCTCCGCGCGCATACTTCATCCCAGAGACGTCCATCCTTCTCAATGGCGTTTGGGACTTCCACATGGCCGGCACTCCCGAGGAGGCGCCTTTGCCAGAAGACAAGGAGGACGAATGGGGCACCATCAACGTCCCTGGCCATTGGCAGCTTCAGGGGCACGGCTTTCCGTGGTATACCAACACACAATTCCCTATCCCAGTGAACCCACCATACGTTCCCAGCGAGAACCCCACGGGCACCTACAGACGAACATTCCACGTCCCTTCCACGTGGGATGAGAAGTCGCAATTGCGCCTCAGATTCGATGGCGTTGACTCCGGATACCACATCTGGGTCAATGGCACGCTCATTGGCTTCGCTCAGGGCTCGCGGAACGCGTCCGAGTTTGACGTCACAAGCATCCTCAAGAGGGATGGACCCAATGAGCTGTTTGTGAGAGTGTACCAGTGGTCCGATGCAACTTACATCGAAGACCAAGATCAATGGTGGCTTTCGGGTGAGTGGTCGCTTCGTTCGTCAACCTGCTTGAATAATCATCTAACGAGCTAATCACAGGTATCTTCCGCGATGTCACTCTCCTCGCCGTACCCGAGCAAACAAGAATCGAGGACTGGTTCCTCCGCACTGATCTCGACGAGAAGTACGAAGACGCGACTCTCCTGGCGACGGTCGACGTCAAGACCGCCGAGAAGAGCACCGTCAAGCTCACTCTCAGCGAGCTAGGCAAGAACGGCGGTGCCGTCATTGCGACCAAGGAGGCAGAGGTCACTGTCGACAACACCAAGGTTGACATCAGCATCCCCGTTACCAACCCAAAGAAGTGGACTGCCGAGACCCCTTACCTCTACCGGGTTGACATCACCCTGGGCTCCCATGCTGTCTACCAAAACATTGGTTTCCGCAAAGTTGAGCTCAAGAACGGTCTGATTTCCGTCAACGGTACCCCAATCCGCATCAGAGGTGTCAACAGACACGAACACCACAACAAGTTTGGCCGCGCCGTGCCCATCGAGTACGCCAAGCGCGACCTGCTCATCATGAAGAACCACAACATCAACTCTCTGCGATGCTCGCACTACCCGCCCGACCCCCGAGTCTTCCAGCTTGCGGACGAACTCGGCTTGTGGGTCATGGACGAGGCCGATCTCGAGTGCCACGGCTTCTACGATGCTGTTGCACGCCCTCAGGATGTCGACGAGGCGTCAGACTACGAGGCGCGCAAGGCCATTACCTTCCCCCTTGCTGGGAAGTACACCAGCGAGAACCCTGAGTGGCGTGAGGCCTACCTCGACCGCATGGTTCAGCTGGTTCAGCGCGACAAGAACCACACCAGTATCATCATGTGGTCGCTTGGTAACGAAGCCTTCTACGGTGAGAACCACAAAGCCATGTACGAGTACGCCAAGAACTTCGACTCTGGTCGCCCGGTCCACTACGAAGGCGATGTCAAGGCCGAGACTGCGGATATGTACTCTTACATGTACCCTCCCATCGACCGCCTCACCAAGCTGGTTGAGACTGAGGGTGTCAAGGAGGACGGCAGCTACGAGAAACCTGTTGTTCTCTGCGAGTACGGTCACGCCATGGGCAACGGTCCTGGTGGTCTCGATGACTACATTGAGGTCTTTGAAAAGTTCCCTCGTCTTCAGGGCGGCTACATCTGGGAGTGGGCGAACCACGGTATCTGGAAGGAGGATGCCGATGGCAAGGGCTACTATGCCTACGGAGGAGACTTTGGCGAGCGTCCCCACGACGGCACCTTTGTCATGGATGGTCTTCTTCACAGCACCCACGACCCTACTCCCGGTTTGATCGAGCTGAAGAAGGCCTACCAGCCCCTTCAGCTGTCAGTTGAGGGCAACCAGCTTGTCATCAAGAACAAGTACGACTTTGTTGGCGTTGACCACCTTTCCTCCACCTACAAGGTCGAGGAGCTCGGCGAGAAGTAAGTCATTCTGGAGGAAGCTCTACTGATCTAGAGAAGCATGATTACTGACAATTTGTAACACAGCTCCGCTCTCGTCGCTGCCGGAAATCTCGAAATCCCCAAGATCGCCGCCGGCGAGACCGTCAAGGTCGACCTGCCCTCGAGCCTCGCGAAGATCAAGTCCGACAAGGAGGTCTACATCACCGTGACCTTCAGTCTCAAGGACTCCACCAACTGGGCCGAGCCCTCGCACGAGATCGCTTGGATCCAGCACAAGCTGTCCGGTGTTGCGGCAGCCTCCAAGCTGCTTAACAGCACACTCACCTCCAAGTTGCAGGTTCAAAAGTCTCGTGCCAAGGCCACCGTCTCAGGCTCCGACTTTGCCATTACCTTTGATACCGCCCGCGGATATATCACATCTTGGACGGCTGCTGGAGTGCCTCTTCTCGTGAAAGACGAAGCCACTGGCGCGGCCATTATCCCCAACTTCTGGCGCGCCCCTACCGACAACGACAACCCCAATGATGCCCCCTACTGGGTTCGTTTCGGTGTTGATGCTTTTGACAGTTTCCTTCGATCATTCAAGATCAATGAGTCGAGCGATAAGGTTGAGGTCATCACAACCACCTACCTCTCCCCTCGCGTCCTCGACTGGGGCTGGGAGACCACCACTACTTACACCATTGATGCCACCGGTCGCCTCACCGTCGCCGTTGACCTGAAGCCCCGCGGCATCAAACCCACTCACATCCCCCGCGTGGGCCTGAACCTGCGCCTGCACAAGTCTCTCAACAACGTCAAGTACCTCGCGCTCGGCCCCGGCGAGTCCTACCCAGATAAGAAGTCCAGTCAACACCTCGGCGTCTTCAGTGCCACCGTGCCGGAGTTGCACCAGCACTACGAGGTACCCCAAGAAGGCGGCAACCATCTGGAAACCCGCTACGTCAAGCTCACCGAGGACCACGGCCGCGGCCTTCGCGCAACGCCGGCTGACGCTGCTGTCTGGTCTGAGGAGGAGTGGCGCCAGTTCAGCTTCCAGGTCAGTCGCTACACTTCCGAGACGGTGCACAAGGCCGCGCACCCGTGCGATCTCGTTGAGGAGGATGCGACGCTTCTGCGTCTCGATGCCCGTGTTGCTGGTGTTGGTACTGCCGCTTGTGGTCCTAATGTCAGGGAGGACTTGAAGGTGCATGTCGGAGAGTTCAAGTTTGGATTCGTTTTGGAAAGAGTTGGATTTTAATGACTTTGGGTTACGACGAAATGGTTACACTGGTGTCCTGAGACTTGGACACATGTCACGGACAGCTAGAGCTAGAATTGGAATGAATGATTATGACTTTAACAGCCTCTTGCAAAGCTTCTCAAAATCGTAAAATGCTACCAATTTTGAAAACGCAACACACCTGTCTCTCAGATTGATCGAGCGCGCTCCGAGGGTCCTGGTGGGGGTGGGCCTCGTGCTGGTGGCATGCCTGGGCGGTACAATAGAAACTTTTGGCCCACCACAACCACAACCGGCCGGTTGGCCCAATGGCAAGGCGTCTGACTACGACTAAGCGGTTCCCCGACTTAGCATGTTATCAGGAGATTCTGGGTTCGACCCCCAGGCTGGTCAGTCTTTTGGCCTCCCTCGGTTTCCCTCAATTTTTGTTTCTTCAAGTCAAGTTGGGTAGGAATTACGATTTTTGCTTGTCTTTGGCGCCACTCGGTAAGTTTTCATTAGAAACCACTGCTTTTCAGCCAGGAAACGATCTAGACTTGTGGTCGAGTTCAATAAGCGCCTATGTCATGTTCTCTTGAGGTTCTTCCTTATTTGCACTTGTCACCCCGTTGGTTTCATGCAGAGGTCATCTAAGGGCTAGTCTCTATCGTGAAGTAAGATGGCGCAATCAACAGAAGCTGAAGACCAAAGTTCTGAGCTCGCCTGCTGTTCGTCAGCTCGGACTCAAGTCTTTAGTTATTCGACTGAACAGCGGGGATGTTACGACGCTGACCGGCGATCGACATTACTGCAGGTGGCATTCGACTTACATTCCTGGACTTAGTATACCATTAGTAAACTCTTTTAATGAATCCAAGCAGTAAACCTGGTAGTATGCACCTGAAGACTACGCCAAGTAAGCTAGGAACCTTTTCTACAACGTCGGATGCATCCCCCGCCTCTGCGATACGACACTACTGGGCCGTTCCGCCTGGGCCGCGCTGAGCGTACTCCAGACCCGGAAGTTATTGGAAATCGGTTGGAAGTGCTTAAGTAGACCTTTCAAAACATACTTCGTAATGGAAGCAGCCGACACCGGAATGTCTTTCAGGTAGCCAAGCACTATTTTCTTATCTTTAAGCTACCGTCCAGCTAGACAAACTTCGTCAACTCTTCATTCCCTTTGACAACAATTTACAGCGCTAATACTTGTTTCACTTACTTCACCTGTTGCACACATTCAATCATGAGACTGAAAGCCCTGGAGATGGCTTCTGTAGCCGCAATAGCGCTGGCGACTGGGTCTGAAGGTTTGTATACTGAACTTCCAACTAATCTCACAGAGGTCGACGTCATCATCGCTGGAGGTGAGTCTATTTTAAACAATCCTCCAGTGGCCAAATTCTCATTTCGCACGTAGGAGGCACTGCGGGCAGCATCGTTGCCTCACGACTCGCTGAAGCAGACCCCTCCCTATCGATTCTTGTTATCGAGCAGGGAAAAGACAGCTTTAATGTCACAAACGTCATCTACCCGGCCTTATTCGAGCGGAATACCCTGCCCAATTCGGATACTGCTCTGTTCTGGAAGGCCAAGAAGTCATCCCAGCTGGCGGACCGTGAGCCGGTTGTTGAGACAGGCGGCATTCTCGGGGGTGGATCAGCTATCAACTGGATGGTGTACACCCGTGGGCAATGGGACGATTATAACTCCTGGAACACGACAGGATGGTCAGCAGAAGAATTGCTGCCACTTCTGCGGAAGGTTTTTGCTCCTCCATCTTCTCATTGCTTTAAACTATTCATGATAGCTAATGCATATTCAAGATCGAAACGTATCACGGCGCAACTAACAATCAATCAACTCACGGCTATGATGGACCAATCCATGTATCAAAGGGAACACACCAAGCGCCTCGAGCTGAAAGAGGTTGGATTGATGGGGCCGTAGAAGCAGGTTGGTCAGAGGTAGAAGACCTTCAAAGTCTGCACTCCAACAATGGCTCCGGGCCCTGGTATCGATATGTCTCGCCTACCGACGGCCGCCGCCAAGATGTCGCACATCGTTACTTGCATCCACTTCTGCAAAGTGGCGACTATCCTAATCTGAGTGTGCTAGTAGAAACCCAGGTTCTCCGTGTTCTGTTTGAGGGAGAAGAGAACCGCGCCACTGGGGTGGAAATCCGACCCAACCCTGCATTCGCGAAGGATGCCGGAGACAATAGCACGACTAGAGTCAAGGCGAGAAAGCTAGTGGTTGCTTCCTCGGGGTCTTTTGGAACTCCATTGCTTCTCGAAAGATCCGGAGTCGGTGATCCTGCAGTGCTGGAAAAGGCGGGATTACCGATTATCGAAAGTCTCGATGGAGTGGGCAATGACTTCCAAGGTAACTCTGATCTCACTCTTTGGGTGATTGCTGGCGTTTCAACGGCTTCCTAATATCTCATAGATCATCACTTTGTTGGGTACGTCTACCGCACAAACCTCAACCGGAACGAGACCATCAACGGTATAGCCCGAAATGATAGAGGACGAGACGTGGATGCGATGATTGCCGCCGACGACAAGCAACTTGGATGGAACGGTCACGATGCCTCCAGCAAGTTTAGACCATCCCCTGCTGATATTGCAGCTTTGGGGCCAGAATTCCAAGCTGCTTGGGACAGGGACTTCAAAGACTCGCCCAACCGTCCTCTCATGATCCTGGGACTCTTTAATGCCTACTTTGGCGACCCTGCCACTCTTCCCGATGATGCCGAGTATGTTACCACAGCACCCTGGGTAACATACCCATACGCGAGGGGCCACATTCATGCTACTGGGCCGAGTATAGATGATGAGTACGACTTCACCACTGGGTGGCTACTTGACGAGAATGACATCGACCTGAGGAGCCACATCTGGGGGTACAAGACACAACGAGCCATCGCCCGTCGAATGGAAATCTTTCGAGGCGAGCTCGCACTGGGGCACCCTAAGTTCGCCAACACATCGAGCGCCGCTGTCATCGAGGTGGCCGAAGGACCGGTCACTGATTCGATTGAGTACTCTATCGAAGACGATGCTGCAATCATCCAGTACGTTCGTGAAAACATCGGGACATCAAGACATCCTCTTGGTACCTGCAAGATGGCGCCCCGGGAGAATCGAGGGGTTGGTAAGTAGCACAGCCCTGCTTAGCTTTGAGGTTGAGCCTTATACTGACATCAGATGTCACAGTCGACCCCCACCTGAACGTCTACGGCGTGTCCGGGTTGAAGGTTGCGGATCTCAGCGTGCCATCTCAGCAAGTCGCTGCTAACACTTACAATGCTGCACTGCTGGTGGGGGAGAAGGCTGCAGAGATCATCATCACAGAGTTAGGACTCTGATACGTTTACGTAACGTTGAAGCACATTTAGCAATGACATCTTGAATGAAGTGCGTGAGAACAGGCTGACAGGAAGCGTAATCGCGTGATGTGATTGAAGATGAGAAGTTACACCGTTAAGCTCAGAAGCCGTAAGACGACTATTCACCCTTCAACTGATAGTCATCTTGAAAACATAGAATTATATGACAATAAGCGCTTACTCACATTAAGTGTGCAAAACTTCAGGCATCAATTGAAACGTCAATATGTCCGAGTGAGATACAGCAATCGCTGCCTACACCCCGCGTAAGCAGTTACGAGTCGAGCTCAGGCATCCATTATGCGCTTCTAGTTCAAAAGAGCTGAAATGCTGTGGTTTAATCTGAACCCAACACCCTCGATATCTTCAATCGCATCTCGTCTTCCATATATCAACTAAATACACTTCCTCCACTGGTCTTTCGCAATGATCGTCACCGAGTTTGGTGCCGCGGGCGTCAAGCCCGGCCTCAACATCATGGATGAGTCCACACTAGAGGGCCAGACATACATGAGCGTCTATCGCAAGATTATCGTGGCACCTGGCGCTCCCTATCGATTGTATCTGGCAGTCGAACTTGAAGATTCATCCATGTCCTGGGGCTTCTTCGATTGGGACTCAATTGAGCACCACGAGAAGTTTGCCAAAGAGTAAGTCAAGCCATTAACCACATACCATTTTCCCAAAAGTCATTTCTGATGAGTAAAAGATATGGTGCAGAGCTGTGCAAAGACTTGCACAAAGTTCTGACATACGGAGAATTCTGCAAGCACATCAACGCCACGTCAAGCCTCCCAGATGCGCTGAAGTCCGTCGTGACTGATGTTTTCATCATCTACTTTCCTTCAGACATCACCCCTGAAGCGAAAAACGTGGCGACTACACGGTTGCAGGAGATTATTAAGGAAGGTTTCGGACAAGTGCCTGAGGTGACCGCCACCAGCTATGGTTGGGGAGTTCAGGACAATTTTCCCGTGAAGGGAGGAGACCCCAATCAGACAGGGTCCATCTTGGCAGCTTTCGTCGGCTGGTCCAATCTTGAGGCAAACGATACCTTTCACCATTCAGACACCTATGAGGAGATTGAAAGAAAGCTTGAAGATATGGAAGGGTTGATCAAATTGAGACCTTTCCGCCTCAGATGCACTGTGCTTGAGAAAGAGGCTTAGTAAATTTGGCAAGGAAATTGGGAGGCAACAAGTGATTGAGAAATGAGCAGCTGCAAGGGAACTACACAGTCACTACAGATTATGCATTGTTTGAATCTCTCCAAATTCTATCACACGGTCATTTACATACATTCAGTATAACAAAACTCAGCTGAAAGCAATCAGTGACGCAATTCATCCCCAGCTATGTGCTGCATGAGTAAATACGTAAGGCAATCTGACCTCCATGCTATCCCATATGCCTTCATTCCATTGCCTCCCAGAGTAAGTACGCGAAGACACCTTAGACCGTGGGTGTGGCCATTGCAGGAGCTACCATATCAGCAAGTGGAACCGCTGTTCTTTTCATCCCATTCGGCCCGCACGTGCTGACCTTCAAACCAGCATAGATGGAAGAATAAGCCGCTGGGAGAAGGTTGTCTGCGCTTCCTGCTTTGAGAGTTCCGACGTAAGGGTTAAAGTTGTAAATACCACAAGGGCAGTGGTCCAGAATCTGCATGCCAGCAGTACCAGAGAGAATGGAAGATCCTCCTCGAGCCATATTGAAGGCGACAGTTCCCGGCTTCATATCAACAGAGAAATTGGCAGCACCAGCAGGGGCTTGGAAAGTCTGACTTTTGCCGGCAACATTGACAGTCAAAGATGCGGCCTCTTTCAATAGCGTCACGATGTAAACCTTGTCCTCCATAGTTTGCCATCCATCTGGCCTGCCCTTGAAGTAATTGCCAGAAGAGTTGTTGGCATCGCTCATTGTAGTGTCAGTCGCGTCGCAGTTGATCCCTCGGAGAGTCGGGCGGAACCAGTAGACAACCTTTTCCTCGGTGATGTAGGTCTTGGGATCACTAGCGCCGGCTTTAAACGCCTTGATGAACGGCTGTGCCATGTCGAGCCATCCGTTGTGGGGGAATCCGTAGACCCATTTGGAGTTCCCGTCATCACCGTGCGGGCTGTCAAGACGTCCGACGTAATGACTTTCACCGTAGTCATTCCAAGTCACAATCTCAAGGAAGCGCGGCTTAAGCAACAGAATCTGTTGCCACCGATCGTACCAGAGGGTATCAGAGGGAAAGACCCAATTCTTGGAATAGGGGACCTCGGGGCCAAAGTGGGTGAAGAACCACGGTGATACTGGTGCAATGTATGGCTTGCCTTTGAGTGCCGTTGTGTACGCCGCGTCGCCCTGTTGGACCGAGACGTTGCCTCGACCGTCGGGAGCCTTGTTGAGTCCGTTGTTAGGCCAGCCGAGCCAGTTGAGAGCACCGTCAATAACGCTGAAGTCTGTGCCAAATTCTGGATGGAAATTGGGTGCCCAGAAGACGGGAACGCCAGCAGCACTGCGCATAGCACCGACATCCAGGCCATCTCCCGCAAACGAAGATGCAAACGCCTTGCCGTCAACGATGAGCTGAGCGGGACGAGAGGCGTACTTGGCGATCATCTGGCCGACGCGAGTTGCCTCACTAGTCTGGTACCAGTTGAAATCGAACGAGATGAAGACCTTCATGCCATTGTTGGCAGCGGACTGGTAAGCCAAGTCGAGCTGGGCCTCTGTGTAAGGGTCAACGCCAATATTGAGAGCAAAGGCGTCGATGCCAGCCGCCTTGGCGTTCTGCATATCAGCATCGTACTCGCTGGGCGAGCTACGTGCACCGACGATGCCAATCTTTTAAAGTGTTAGCTGGGAACTGCAGAGATGGAAGGACTGAGTCAAACTCACCATGAAGTGACAGAAGACAAGCTTCTCACCACTATCTTGGCGAAGGCTGAGGGTGTCGCCATGTGTGGATGGAACCGTCAGGCAGGTGGCCAAAGTCAACATGGCCGTAGCCAGAAAGGCCTTGAAAAGACGAGTGGAAATCATTCTGGATCGCTGTGATGGCCTCAATCCGAGCCTGCTAGTTAGTTACACAGAAGAGAAATGAAAAAATCGAGGAACTTCCCTTTATAAGCCCGGATTACTTGGCGCCTTCCGAAGCGCTCTGTCTCTCGCTTTGGCTCTTTCTCCGTCCGTTCTCCCGTTTCCCCTGCTCATTCCCGTCCGCTGACAAGCGTGGCAGGCCGCACTGGCATCCCGCATGATTCTAGGGTCAATGTCATGGACCTCTGCATATCGATTCTGTGCCCGAGATGCTTCGCAGATCTGTTACCTCACTCAAAAGAGAAGGTCCGAATCGTATGTCTGTCATAAGCCTGATGATGCCACCGACAACCCTCTTATTCCGGTTAATTGCTCATGGGATGCCGGCAGTTTGCATGATCAGGCACAAAGCCTTCCTGCGGTCAACTGCAGCAAAAATACCAGTGACATTAAGAATCTTATGTCACGTTGCAGCCATGCCTTGCTCTGGCACATGTAGTCTCTAATTACATACTTGTTCACGGAGAAAAGGGTTGAAGTGAGGATAAATCTCCGTTTGACGAACTTCGAGAGAACAAACAGAAGGGTTTGCTCTTTTCATACATCATTCCGCACAAGCGACAAATCATGGGCAACCACATATGTCACAGGGCCCTAGATCACAGTCCCTAGAATCTTTGAAGTCATGCTTATTATCTCCTCTGGCCGCTGAATGGGCAGTTGAGAATCCATGTCATTCGGCCCGCGCTGACTGCTGGTCTCCGAATACAACCCTCCCAACAACCCGACTGGCGTCTCCTTGGCCAAAGTCATTTATCTGGGGTGCATATGGAAAAGGTGGAAACTTGTGTCCAGACCGTGCCAGATGTCAGTAAGCACCACATGACGGAATGTCTCGTCGGCTTGCCACATGGTTGGTGTCAACATCCGGCAGTGCGGAGTAGTCGAGACAAATCACAAGCACAAAACATGAACGACCCTCCAATCAACATCAAAATCAGACCCTACTGCGGTAGTTGACCTCCCTGCAGGTGGTATTATTCCGACGCCAAATACTCCCAAGATGGGATGATTGTAACGGAAAAAATTGGGGGGTTCCTTAAACCGACTTCAACTCTGCGCGCCGTCGGGTTGGAATCACAGAAGAGAAAACAAAGAGTATCATATGAAAGAGATGCAGAATTTTCATGCTTATACAGTATTAGAGTTGGCCAAGATCTAGGACCGCGTATAGCATAAAATTGTGACGAAATCCCGTCATCATCTGCAAGACTATGCCCGGTCATCATAGAAAATACCACTGACTTGCAGTAAAACGTAAGCACATAACATGCAAACAGTGAGTCGGTCAGGAATGCCCACTCCTCGACAAATCATTTTGTGGTTTAGACCTTTGGTAGAAATGGTGCCCTTGAGATGTAACCCTCTTTTGCTGCAATCTTGTGACAACGATCAGGCCGCTCAAAATACCGCAGAGAACCCGCCACAAGCTCCACGGTCTTTTCCAATATTCCCTGTCCTGAAAAAAAAGTTCATGGCATCTGTTAGAGCATGATGGATGTCGAGGACGAGGACCTTCTCCTTTGGGAAGTTTGAATGCGCAATTACTGGCACATCATCTTTCTACCCAATCGTGAGGTTGATTTTGACCCCCTTTGACCTCGTGAGGTTTCACGGCTCCCATCAAGCAGAGCAATTGACAGACTTCGGCCCTTTTTTTGCTTTGAGAAGGTCGTTCCATGGGTTACTGTCCAACATGCGGTTACGGTGAAGCTTTCATGAGAGTAAGGATGTCAGGCGTCAGGCGCGCATCTCTATTGGAGGCATCCCGCCAACAAGATCTTCATTTCATTCAATTATTCCCCCAATGATGGAAATGCCGCTGATGATTCTCGCAGTGTCTGATGATGTTAAACTTTCGGCCCTTCAGAATCTGGTTACATTTTGTACTTGTGATTGATGCAGTCCGCGCCGTGACCGCCCCGGACTTCCGTCCCATCTGCAGGTGGTAGGACTCAGAGGCTGTACCATCACACTTTATTCGTCATGTCACGTTGTCTCAACTTCAACGACGGTTGATAAAGTTGTTGAGGCTTTTGTTGTGAGTCTGCAGAGTCACATTTCGAGTCTTATTACTCGATCAGACAGTAGAACGACAAACGTTGGTTATATATCGTTGATCTAGACGTGCAGTCCTGGAGGAGATTAGATTGAAGGAAGTTCAAATCGGAAGACCCCTTGGAATTCATTGAATAATCCAGAATCGTTCGACAGGCTTTCGAAATGGCGCCGGTATCTCAGATATGCCTCTCTCTGCTGGCGTGGATGCTTTTGCCGGTATTGGGTCAAACGGCGAAGCCCGTCTATGCGCACTTCATGGTGAGAACACCACCTACTAAGTTGACGGGCCCGCTAATAAATCTCTTTACCTCGATTCAAAGCTCGGTATCGTCGAAAACTACACCATATCAGACTGGCACGTCGACATGACCCAAGCCAAAGAAATTGGCATCGACGGGTTCGCCCTAAACTGCGCCCCAGCCCGCATCGACAGCTACACCCCCAAACAACTCGCAAACGCCTACCAGGCAGCCCAAGACCTCAACTTCACCGTCTTCATCTCCTTTGACTTTGCGTACTGGTCCACGGCCGACACCGCAGAAATCACCTCCATCGTTGGTAACTACAGCGCGCACCCGGGCCAGGCGCGGTACGACGGTGGATCCATCGTGAGCACCTTTGTCGGCGACAACATGAACTGGACCGCGGTGAAGAATGGCATGCCACCCGGACAGAAAGTTACTGCTCTCCCTATGATCCAAGATCCAGCATGGCTTTCTGTTGCGAATACGGGGCTCGATGGCGCGTTTTCGTGGTATGCGTGGCCGACGGATGGGGGTAATAGTATCATTCCCGGTCCGATGACGACTATTTGGGACGACCGGTATCTAGCAAATTTGGGGAGTCGTCCGTACATGGCTCGTAAGGAGGCTCTCTCTACCAAGTACAAACAGTATGCTGACACACTGCAAAGCCGTTTCGCCCTGGTTCTCAACTCACTTCAACACCAAGAATTGGGTCTTCATCACGGAAGAGCAGCCCACCATCCGCTGGGAGCAAATGCTTGCTATGAAGCCTGCACTCATTGAAATCATCAGTTGGAATGGTGAGTCTCATTACATGCATGCCTTGTCGTCGAAACATGACTGAAGATTTTGATAGACTTTGGTGAAAGTCACTACATCTCGTAAGTGAACCCAAGATAAATCAAATGACGCACAGAATTAGGAGCTGATATCTTCAAGCGGCTCACAACCAAATCACTCCGACGACGGCTCCTCCGCCTGGGCAACCGGCTTCCCCCACGACGCCTGGCGCACCCTTATGAAGCCCTACGTAGCAGCCTACAAATCCGGAGCCGACAAGCCCACCGTTGTCAATGACGAGCTGGTCTACTGGTACCGCCCAACGCCCAAGAACACGGTATGCACAAACGACACCCTCGGCGCCCCCAACGGGGTCCAGTACCTCGCCGACGTGGTCTTCGTGGCCACGATGCTTACGGAGCCCGCCACGCTCACCGTCACCAGCGGCAGCCAGGCGCCGGTCACGGTGCCCGTTGGCGCGGGGATTCAGACCACTAACTTCACCATGGGCATCGGTGCCCAGAAGTTCTCAGTAGCCCGGAACGGAGTTCCGATTCTCGGGGGCATGAGCAGCAAGGAGATCAGCGGTGCTTGTCAGAAGTATAACTTCAACGCCTTTGTGGGCTCTCTCAAAGCCTAAGCTGACTGTGGCGTTCTCGATCTGTCTGGAGAGTAACGTGATTCAGTTGAAGCAATGTTGTGTCTTTTCGGGTTATTAGGAACGAACTGTAATTGCAACTCTTTGTCTAATCTTGCAGCCGTATTTCAGGTAATCATTGAAGGAGTACATGTGTCAAGGAATCGTGGGTAAGGGCTCTGCTTTCTGTAAGCACTGAGTTGTTGTTGGGACGGCCTGTTGGCTGAGTCATTACGTGTGATCTATGCAGCTAGGTCGACGGAAGCTTATCTCAAAGAACATTCACCTCCATTTCACGTGTCTCTGTCGAACTCTAGAGGATAAAGTCCATATCAAGTATTCCCACGTTCCGTTTACTGTACAGTACCACCGTCGCCGTGCCTCCTCCAAGGGTCATACGTTCGCCGACCACGCTGTCAATCTTCTCTGATGCCACGAGGCTAGCGTTGATGTCTGCCCACTTTAATTAAGGCTCTTGTGCTCGTTTCTATTCTTCTCATCTCATCAAGACGATATCCCTTGGCCATATGCATAAGAATCTGATAGTCTGGATTCTGGAATACTTCGCCTGGGGTAGACGAAAGCTGTTTGATCCACCGAATCCGATATCCGCCCGTCAACAGACGAGAATAGAGCCCCGGATTCTGAAGAAGCTTTCTTTGTTCCGAGATTCAGATAGGATAATCAGACGATTGAGGAGCCTTCCGTATCTGGTGGCAGACAGGACAACGGATAAAATAAAGAGATCGCAATGCTCAAAAGGTCTTTTGGACGAAGGTTTAGGAAACCTCCGCGTGCCTTGCCCCACCAGAAGCTCAGAAAAGAGAATGAGAAGGCACGGTGCCGCGGAATAGCCCTTCAATCGCCTGGTCCGTCCGGGACATCAATGCTCTTCCCCGGATCCCGTGCACCAATCTTGGCTCGACTACTAATCTCAGCCTCGCAGAAACCCTCAGGACACCGGTCTCAAATTGCTTCCCGTCGCCGTATTCGCAATCCTCGGATGCTAATCCCTTCATGGGATACTGCATTGCTGAGTTTAAGGTCGCAAATACCCCTGGACTCTGCCGCGCGCTGGGTTCACCAGATGATGTTTGGCCTGCGAGGAGGGAACACGTTTGACGGCACGCAGCGTCCCGGCAGGCTTCGGAACCATGTTTCGTCGAAATCATAGGAAGGCTATCGTAGCCATGAACATACCTAGCGAAGCCTTTGGGGGAACCTTGCTTGGTCGAATCACGGATATCGTCGAGAACTCAGTAAAAGATGTTGACAAGTGTTCATATTCTTGACACATAGATTGGCTTTGCTTTGTGCAGATATTGCGCAAGCTCTGTACATAGCGAATCCAAGCTTGAAGCTAAGTGCAAATACGAAGACGCCCCAGGACTCTGTAGACCGTCCTATTAATACCGTGATCCAGAAAATGACACATTGAGACCCAGGCAACAAAGATGAACTGCCAAATGAACAAGAATCATAGCATAATCAACAAAATATGAGAACGAAAAAAAAAATGTCCGTGTTGGATGTGTTTGTAGTTTTAAGGAAAAATTGATAGTAGTAGGATGTGATATGGTATACTGGAAGAGAAGTAGTAGTAGGTAATGGTGAGGGTGTCCTCTGTTTGGTATCATTGTTGTGAGTCTTGCGTCTGCTGCGGCAGCGCATTTTCGTCCACGTTTTGCTCTTGTTTTTTCTTTTTCCATGTCCATTTCTGCGCCGTTCAAATCATCCACTTGGTGGTTTTGGGAAGAGATTATAAAAGGAAAGAGTAACCCGACCGCCTTCTCATTTGTGGTTCTTGGACCAATGTCGTAGGAAATCGTTGCTCACTCAAACAAGGGCAACCTTGACATCACCCTCTTGAGGTTGAGATTGCGGTAGGACAGCCTCGCGTTGGTCCCGCTTCTTCCTCCCAAGTCTTTCACACCATTCCTCGGCACTGACAATGGTGCCATCAAGGACTCCACTGACTTGCGACATCATGTCGAGACCCTCTTTAGCTAGAACGAGTACACGATGGGCGCCTTCGCGCATCGCCTCCTGGTCACTAACCTTCTCTCCCTGTTGGTGTTCAACCATGCTAGCATAACGGAATCGCTGTGGCAGAGTAGTCAGGTGACGGCGAACCAACAGACGAGCGTTTTCGGGGAGTGCCCCGCCAGCGTATTTGGAAACGGTGACGATTACATTCTGTAGTGTCTTCAGAACGTCACCTTTGAGTGAAGCAATCTTGGCCGCCAGGATTGTGCGCTCCTGCTCAGACATTGGCTCGGGATGGCTGTCAGCCATGACATGGTCGCCATCGTTAGTGACTGCAGTCTGCTCTTCCTGTTGGGGCTGACCCGGCTTCTCGAATTGTTCAAGAGTCGTCTTGAGATTGTTGATAACCCCACCAATATGCTCGTTCGCCCACCGCAACCATCGTAGACAATACTTCAAGCTCCTGAGACTCTCGTCGCTCATAGCAACACTGAGACCCGAGGTAGACATGATTAAGCGAGACTGCCAAGCAGCATTTGATGATGTGGGTCGCTCGGCCTTTTCGTTCTCACTGTAGGCCGGGGACCGGTAGTCGTCATACGCCGGCAGGGTATCGATTGTGCTAGCTCGCGAAAGTCGACGGTCGTGCTTGAACACATATGGATCACGGGGAGAGTCGACGTCAGGCATCATGTTGCTCTGTGCATCAATCATGAGCCTAGCCAAGTCTTCTCCCGTGTCAACCTTGCGCCGCTTATGAGACCCTCCGTCGGCAGCTTCAATGTCATTGGACTGATGCCGTCGACCGGCGCCGAGAAACCAGCGTACGCCACCTTCAACACCTGTCTTCCGCCCAACCGTGCCGACAGTGTTGGCAATGGGCGTCAAGTAACCCTCTACATATTCGGCGCTAGATTTGAATCTCGGGGAAAAGTTTTTGGAGTTATTGTAAGCCGATGTGGCACCTTCGATAGTGGTCGCGAGTAACGGGTGGGATGTTGTCAGAAGTGAGAATAAGGGTTCTTCAGACTTGAGTTGTGGATTTGAAGTGATTGACACGGCCGGCGATGCTCTCGGTAGAGGTGTGTGACGGGCGGGAGGAGAGTTAATGAAGTCTAGACATGTTAGCTTTCGTCATTCGGCACAAGAAGAGGTTCGCAAACGACGAACCGGCTCGCAGATCCCCAAGCGCTTCAGCTGCCATGCGCACGTCGGGGTCGTCCAGACTGACACTGGCAGCGCGTCCTTCGTAAAACCGGTCTGGGGATGCTGCGCTCATGGCGCTATTGCTGACTACGTCGAGATCCATTCGCGCAGGCGAGTCGGCGGACTGGGCATGACTAGGTGTATAATACGTTGTGAGGGGGTTGAGGCTCGGCCAGTGGGTGAGGGGTACTGTTGTCGTCGAAGACCGCTTCAGGGAGGATGTAGTTGGTTGGGGTTGTGATTGCGGCTGGTGATGCTGATGTTGATGCTGCTGCTGCTGCTGCGCTTCGATAGGTTGAGATTGGGCGACGATGGAAGTGAACCGCGGGGGCGGGGGACCTGTCACGGACGAGAGAGATGGCAGGTTGTGACCGACGTTATCATTGTGTTTGGCGGCAGGAAGGATGGGTGCAAGCTCGGTAGTCGGGGCGTCGGGAAACCTCAGCAGGTTGGAATCGTGGGATTGGGCATGCGCATAGCTCGGGGGAGCATATGAAGGCAGCTGGGACGGGAGATGTGTCGGATCAAAGCGAGCGTGAGAGAGGACGTGCTTGTTGGGTTGAGAGGTGGTGGAGATGGAAGCAGAAGCCGCCGTAGAGGTAGACGCAGAAGCAGAAGCAGAAGCAGGTGGGCGGAAGTGGTGCGTGTGGGTGAGGGATGAGGAGGATGGCGGCAGCTGGCGGTCTTCAGGCGCAGGCCCGTGCAGCATGTGATTTTGGCTCTGGCTCATGCTCTGGCTCAAATCCATTTCGCAAAGTATATTCGGACGGCGGCTCGAGACTTCGCGGGGAGGGGGTCGGCAGAGAAGCAGCAAGAGAGGGAGGAGCGAGACCGGCGCGGCTGTCTCAGCGGTCAACTATGGACTGGCATGAGTGGAGATATGACTCTCGTGTCCCGAGGCCGTTGTGGTTCTGAATTTTTTGCAGATTTCCCAGTCGACGTTAGGGAATGTTGTAGTCTGCCTCGATGCAGCAGTGTGCAGACGCGCGGGTCAGAACGAACGTGAGGGAGAGCAGACGAAGGGGTGAAAGTGGCTTCGGGCGGCGCAAGAGAGGTTCATGTAGTACGGTTTGGGCCAAAGGTGGCGAAGGACAGGCAGGACGATGGAGCGGATTTCGAAGCCAACGAACGAACAAGGGAGCGAGGCGGCAGGAGATGTGGATTCGGGGGACGACCGAGTGGAGGGCGGATCTGGAGAAGCGAGGTAGGGAGGGATGGTGGTGGTAATCGTAGGCGTAGCGTATGGTGGTGGGATGAGTCCGGTCCGTGTATCTTGTAAAGTAGCGTGGAGCGTAGCGCTGGGGGGAGGGTTGGTGTGCGTGTACCCGTTGGAGGGCACCTCTATTATTACTATACGGTAAGTAGTATGTTCCCTCGATCGAGGGGATAGGATTGCGTGTGTTTGGAAAATGCGTGTTTGTAGGTATGTGGGTGTAAGAGTTGAATGGGAGTGTGTGCGGCAAGCGGGAGACCAGGAACCGTAGTAGATGTCGAGGGTAAGAGATACCGAAAGGTGGAGGGAGGTATGCCGGGGGGGTGGTGGTGTTCTGTCGATTTGGGTGACGGGTGATTGATGGATTGACGGATTGATGAATTACTTGATTTGATTGACGGGGGGTGGGAGAGAAGAGGTGGATGTGGTTGTGGTGGTGGTAGTGGTGGCGGTGGTGGGAGGATGATGCCGCACCAGAGCGCACCCAGGGTGAGGATGGACGGACGGGACGGGCGACGATGGGGGACGGGGGAGGTCGAAAGACTCGGGACAGGAAGGGGCGACGCTCACAATGCGAGGAACGAGGTAGTCACGTACCTCGTGCCTCCCCAAAAGCGAAAGAGAGGCAGGAGGCAGGCGGCGACAACACCGCAGCTGGTAGGCACGCGGGCCACACCCATTGCGGCGGGAACGAGAAGGGGTCACTGGCGCATGTGGTGGGCTGGGATACTTGAAGGTACCTCAGTTTCTCAAGTCACTTCTGTCTTTGCTTCACACTACAAATTGCCCCCATCTGGAAACCACATGTACTTGGCTTGCAGTACCCGGCTCTGTACCTTGGCCAGTCTCATGGGTCCAGATGGTGAATGGATAAGGTACAAATGGGGGCCGGGGGGGGGGGGGGACCACAATGGAGTCGGTCTTGGGTAAGGTACGGAGCCTTTGGGCACTTCAGTACCTAAGCAACGGAAACAATTAATCTGTTATATTCAATCAGAGCTTGCTGTGGAAAGTCGCTCTTGTATTGAAAGCTAATCACTCGCCCCTTCAGATCTTGCGCCAACTAACTTTCTCCAGTGCTAAACTAGAAGCTTTCCCGTGGGGAAAAAAGACATGAGACGGACACGGGAAAGTGTCCGTCAGCCGTACGCATACGGGGGGGAAACAGGCGGCTAATTTCCTCAAGCTCTGTCACTCGGCTTTGGTCTCTCGCAGTGCGGAGCAATGCTGGTTGCTCCGACTTCCGAGTTCCCCATGTGAAGGTCCAGGCAATAGGTCATGCTATGCGCTGTTGTTGGTACTGTTTTCTGCCCGTCCATCTCGCTGCCCAGCCAGCGAATTGACCAAGGTATTGTGCCTCTCGCTTGAGTGAGTCGTTCCGTGGGGGGCCTGACCGGAAGAGACTTCTCGGCACCGTGATTGTGGCTGACTTGACTTGGGCGGGTATATCGCACTCACACTATTCGTCTATGGATAAGCAGATCATGTGTGAGAACCAGCATCAAGCCAGCCCACATCCCAAGGCCCAAGCATGGCCCTGAGGTTCCTATCTCGTCGTCCTGTGTCTCGAGCCTTTCGACTCCTCAGTGACGGTAAATACAGTGCTGTACTCCGGACAACACGAACTACGCCGCTCGACGAGCAGGGGGGTCGACGGCAGACGCAAGACCCAATCACCGCCCACACGCGAGTCCACGTTCCCGTTCGGGACAGGTCAGGCGGCACCGTCTGCGGTCCATCTCGCTGGAGTCTGCAGGGTCCGAGGCACTGTTTCGCACTGGCAGCCGCTAAACTCGAGACAGAGATACGGGCCAACGCTACCTTGCTGCTGACATCTGTCAGTACTCGGAGACCAATGGAAGGCAGTTGGGAACTAAGCAGACAAGCCGCGACTCAATAGTGTATCCTAGGTACGGAGTAGATACGCGCAGTCTCGCGCAAGGTAGCTAGCTCATCGTATGGTTTTGTACACCGTACCCATGTAGAAGAAGTGAGGTGGTATTCGTGCTGGATATCCGTATCACTATCCAGTATCCGTTGACCATATGCTTTGCCCGGGCCAGCAGCAAAAAAAATAGCCGACGGTGATGGGTGGGAGTCGGTTACAGAAACAGACGCGAACCTTAGCAGATTCAAGGCCAGACTCTGAGTCTGCAGGAATGCCGTGACAGAAACGGGATTCAGAGAGTGCCATTGCCACAGCTACCGTTGGGGTAGGGGTACAGTGTGAATATAGCCATACACCAATTGGTGTCTACATAGGTTGTAAGGGTGTGCTGTCGGGTTCGCTCTTGTCTGACGATGCGCCGCTGGCTGGCCTGACGTCTGCATAGTGCAGACCGCATTTTGGGTTTGCCGACCAAGACCAACTGACCTCGTTGTCGCATGGGATATTGTCTTTCTTTCTTTTTTTGTTCTTTTTTTTTGTTCTTGAGCCACCATCAGGTTTTGACTGCAATGACTGGAATGTGAAGACTACTAGACTGAGACCTTGGGCTTTTAGTTGTCAGTTTGCGCCCAGACCGCTTGTAAGAAAAGTGAGGATGACCGTTTCGCTGATCGTCCAACAACGAATCCTGCAAGCTATTCTTCCAGCCAACAGCTGATGGCCTCTTCCTGGTTGTGACTTATAGGGATTCGTACTGTGGTGCACCGGGTGCCTTCGCCAGTAAGAGACCCTACCTTTAGCCTGTGATCTGGGACACACAACAGGGGGCAAGCCTGGGAAAGACTCGAGGGGGGGAACAGGAGATCAGGGCCAAAGTTGGGGAAGCACGTGTCAGAGTTGTTGGGGCCGTCATCACATGCATCTGGCCGGGTTGGACGGGATGAACAAGTAACTTAGCATGTGCAGAAGTGGGTTGTGTTAAGCTTTCTGCCGTGTTTCTCACCTTGATGCTACCAGGTTGGACTCCCGGATGTCTATGTCACAAGGCATCAACTGACAACGGGCGGTGGCCGGGTCGCCCAGCCGGCATTCGGCCCCAGGCACAAACGAGGCTTCCTCGCTGTTTGATTGGACTGTCGCTTTCTTACTGCTACGTCACCCTGGGGCACGGACTCACCCTTTCCATGTGAAAACGAAGGAGAAAAAAAAAAACTGGAAAGAGACATACGGGGCACACACAGAGGGGAAGAACCCACGGCTCAGGAGCCTTCCGCAAGTTAGGGATTCCCAGCCCGCACTTGAGACGCGTTTCTGGTCACCTGTCTCTCCAAAAAGGCATCCGCAACTTGCAGCTTCCGCCCTACCTACCTTGAGCCTCGCAAGTTTGGTTTGGTTCTTGCCTTTCACTGTGTGTCTGCCAGTTTTGCCTGCCCCAGAAAGCTTTCTCAAACCGGGCCTCACAAATTAGCGATACCGTACCCGTAAGGTAGCTCAGGCAATCATCCCACAGCTGCCGTTCAAGGCCCATATTCACGTGCGATTTGCTGCCACTCTGCTGACTCTTGATTCTTGGAGGGGAATTGGTGGGACTTTGCAGAATAGGTTGCCGGATGACCATGGTAATTTTCTCGAGATCCGCCCAAGGGTCCAGTTGTTCCCGCTGACGTTCTTCTCTGTGACGCCTTTTTCATGGATCTACCATGCCCTTCTTCATTTTTCTTCTACCACTCCGTCATCCGAGATTCCGCCGTTGCCGTTTGTACGTAGTACACCAACACCACATGCAAATCAAGGTACACCACCACACGTCAGGTGTGTAGCCGTTGTGGTCTTTCCGATTTGCTTTGCAAGAGTAACAGCCGGTAACCTGTATTGGCTGATTGGATTGCAATATCCAATTTACACGAATCTTGCGAAACCGACGCCCAATCATGCACTTGAAGCACCAACGCAACCTCTGTCACCTTAACCCACCAGGCCTTATCAGTATTCACCATCGACATCGAGGTGCCGAGCTGCGCTGATTCCCGCAATGGAAAACCCACATCTTGTTTGAACCTGATTCCAACTTCCAAGCTCTTCTTTCAAGTTTCCAGCTGCTGCCCGCCGGCTTACTTGCCTGCTCGCCTTGCATCGCACGACTCAGTTCTATCTGCTACCCGCCCGTCCTGACTAGTTATCTCCCACAAATGGTGGCCATGTGATGGCATCTCAGACCCGAGCTGGTGGATCAGCGGCGTTTCCACGGCCCTCGGCGCATGCTGCACGAGCTCAGAGCACGCAAGAGCCAGCTGACATCGTCGAAGACTATTCAAGCCTTTCTCGTACCTTTTGGCACTTCCCCGGCAGTACGTAGTAGACTTCTTATAAACCCCCGAAAGCCGAGAGACATTAACCATCTTGGTTCGGGAGGCGTTTGTGTTTTTGACTGGGGTCTCTCTAGATCTGACAACCGGCGAGCCGGTCGTGCATCGCAACCTTTTCCTTGTCGTAGAGGCTGTCAGGAGGACATGGCATGAGGCTTCCCAGCTTAAAGAGGACCCTTAGCTTCAAACAAGCGTACGAGCACCTGTCAAGACTTGTTGAGCTTCGAAGCAGGAGCCTCGGCGATTGCTTCTGTCAGGAACACAAGATGTGTTCCATGCATGGAAGCTTACTCGTCAAGTGTGTCTACCGAGATCTTGTCTTGATCAAGATCTCTGCTAAAATTTACCCGAAGTAACTGCAGTCCAGCAGTCGGTAAATGTAGCGACCGTTTCGTCTCGGATATCACAACAGAAATAAGACATCATTTTGATAGTATGTATGGCACCTCTGACGCCGCCCTGGCAACTGTACTCTTCACTCGAAAGCGAAGAGAAATGCATGGGCAGCTCTTATGGAACCGGAAGGTTTCCTCTGCGCGTCACGAAATCGCAATTCACATCAACGACGACACGAATGAGCCCAGCAGAATGCCAGTCCAAATGTGGTTGTAATAATGCGCTGCACTGTCTAAAAGGACGCGGTAGTGAGGAAAAGAAGGAAAGGAAGAAACATCGTGAAAATTTTGGCCCGATGTAAGCAAACCACAGACCCACTCTGAGAGCTGCAGGTCATGTGACTTACCTCTGAAGACTTACCTTACGTAAACCTACTTTGCTCTTGGGATGTTACTTACATAAGACAAGCGGCAACAGCCACAGTCTGACCCCCCAGCCATATGTGGCTGCACGACAGCTTGCTTTCCCAAGAGGTAAGGCTGTCATTGTACTGGTCCGTGCCCTTCCGACTCCAAGGAGACATCGTGGTTTCAATATCGCCAGCTATCTGTCAACGCGCGGTTCATCAACTGCACGACCCGCGAATAATGACAGCGTCCACCTCCAACTTCTGATCATTTGATACCATCACGAGCTGCCTTGCTGTACCAACTGCATGAAAACATCCTCCTCACTGCCATAATCCCTCTGGCCAGCGTGCCAATTGACTCCCACCGCCTCTGCGCCTGCCCCTCGATCCCCCGCCTTGGCAACCACTTCATCATGGCTTCCGCCGTGTTCTTCCTCGACTTGAAGGGCAAGGTGCGCACTACGAAACTGACCTGATATTTGAGACGCTCAAAAATGCTGATACTGGCTTGCAATAGACCCTTCTTGCCCGAAACTACCGCGGTGACATTCCCATGTCAGCTGTCGAGAAGTTCCCCGTCCTTCTCAGCGAAGCAGAAGAAGAATCATCAGCTGTCCCACCATGCTTCTCGCACGAGGGTATCAACGTACGTGCCGAATTGTGGCTATCTGCGCTCCAGCGTCGCAAGTGGCATCTTGACTGACGAGACGCGAATTCCAGTACCTTTACATCCGACACAACAACCTATACCTCCTTGCCCTGACGAAACGAAACACCAACGCTGCCGAGATCCTCCTATTCCTTCACAAGATTGTCGAAGTCTTCACCGAGTACTTCAAGGCCCTTGAGGAAGAGTCCATCCGCGACAACTTTGTCATCATCTACGAGCTTCTCGACGAGATGATGGACTTTGGCTACCCCCAGACTACCGAGTCCAAGATCCTCCAGGAGTACATCACCCAAGAATCCCACAAGCTCGAGATCCAGGCCCGCCCGCCCATCGCCGTCACAAACGCTGTCTCATGGCGTTCCGAGGGTATTCGCTACCGCAAGAACGAGGTCTTCCTCGACGTCGTCGAGAGTCTCAACCTTCTCGTTAGCGCCAACGGCAACGTCCTGCGCAGTGAGATCCTGGGCGCCATCAAGATGAAGTGCTATCTCAGCGGTATGCCTGAGCTCCGCCTGGGCCTGAACGACAAGGTCATGTTCGAGACAACGGGCCGAACGACACGCGGCAAGGCTATTGAGATGGAGGACGTCAAATTCCACCAGTGTGTGCGGCTGTCACGCTTCGAGAACGATAGGACCATTTCCTTCATCCCCCCGGACGGAGAGTTCGAGCTCATGAGCTACCGCCTCAACACCCAGGTCAAACCCCTGATTTGGGTCGAATGTGTTGTCGAGAGCCATAGCGGGTCGCGAGTCGAGTACATGCTCAAGGCCAGATCGCAATTCAAGAGGAGGAGTACGGCCAACAACGTTGAGATTATCGTTCCAGTCCCCGATGATGCCGACACTCCTCGCTTCCGCACCAACATTGGCGCCGTCCACTACGCCCCTGAACAGAGCGCCATCGTGTGGAAGATCAAGCAGTTTGGAGGCAACAAGGAGTTCTTGATGAGAGCAGAGTTGGGACTGCCTTCGGTACGAGGCGATGACGAGCACGGTGGTGGTATGACTGGTGGTTTCGGCGGTAGTATGGGTGGTGTTGGTGCGCCTGGCAAGGGAGCCAAGAGGCCGATCCAGGTCAAGTTTGAGATCCCCTATTTCACGACGAGTGGTATCCAAGTGCGGTACCTCAAGATTACAGAGCCAAAGGTAAGTCTTTCTCCTTCGAGGAGTTCCAGTGGTTGTCATTTGCTAACTTGTCACAGCTGCAATATCCCTCGTTGCCTTGGGTCAGATACATCACCCAGTCAGGAGACATAGCTGTGAGGTTGCCTGACGCAGTATGAGGCGAGCGGGTATCGGCTTAGTTGTAACGCAGTACGAGCTCGAAGGGAGTACATTTTCCATCGATGCATTACTATTTTATTGAGCGAAAAAGTGAATTGAGGTTACACAAAACACATGTTGGCTGGTGGGCATGGGCCATAGACACATCCGTTGGGGGCAGGGTAGATGCGTCAACGCTTCGTGGCTCTCAAGAGCCGTTGGATGAGTACCTACTGGGTCAAGTAGATAACCCGCGTTCACTAGGACAAGAAGGAGAAAGCTTTCAATGATGATGCAAAGTTCAATATTTCAAAAGATGTGTGCGCCTTAGGAAACATGTCCCGCATGTGTCTGCCCCAGAAAGTGCATCATCCCTCATCTCCGATGCCATTCATTGAACCTGAGCATCACAAGATTTCCTTAACACTGAGAGCACTATACTTGATAGTTGGGAATTCGTTACTGCTGGTTGAATTGGGTATATGTGCTGTCGAGACAACGCCGGGCCAAAAACAGAAGACACGATGAGACGTTGTGAAACGGCATGAATGAGAAAGGGGACGGGAGCTCAGCCGAAGATGACGCAGCATCCGGCCTCGAACCCTTCAATCATCTCCGTAGTCGAGTTGTCATTGTAGGAATCACAACAGATCTGCACCATTACACCTCTCGGAGAACCAGTGGGATCAGGGTCTATCATAGTCAGCATATACTTTGACGTGTGTAATACGGCTTTCCGAGAAGAAGCAATTTACTGACCCGCACGAGAAGATCGCCGCTCATGAAATCCGTTCCTATTCCAGAGCCCATCCCAGAAAACTCGCTCTGTGTCTCCTGGCCTTTTCATCAGAGCCAAGAGGGCGAGGATGATAGGCAAATCACCGCCCAAACCTATGGATCGGGGAGCTGAAGAATCCGGCGTGGCGAATGTGTGTGGCAGGAGATGGGGTATCCAAGACGGCTGGGTTCCAGATACATGTCTTTGGGGGCCGCCGGGAGAGACGATCCGAGTAACACCTGGGGCTGTTTGGTCTGGCTTTTCAAAAGCGATGCTGTGAAACCCACCTGGATAGGGCTCGTCCACAGCTGATATATCAACGTTGGTAACCAAGCAAGGAAGGAACCGCCAACAGTTGAAGACGCTATAAGTCTTGTATTCCTGCAGGGCAGTCGGCTCTTCCGCTCCAAGTAGCTGAGAACAAATTGCCCCAGGACGTCCCATTGCCTCACGGTTCCAGAAGAATTCATTCCCAGCGGGAGCGATGACCCCGTCCGTATACCGCCAAACAATGCCCGCTCTCTCCTCACCATAGCCATCGGCGGAGTCAGGTGGGCGAGTGTTGCCGCAGGAATCGCCAAAGTTGTATCCATCAAGAATATTGAGTTCGTTCACTACAAAGAGAAAACTGAAGTAGATGTCAGGGACGGCCTCCTGTCTCCCACTGGATTGTCTTGGCTTGTGATCTTTGTCCTTCTTGTCACTTCGCCTCCCGTGCTTACGGCTTCCACTCCGCTATCTCTGTCAGTCATCGTATTAGTCCGAGGTAGGCAGGAGGTGGGCACTTACACTCGACTGAGAATGCATTTCTTGTTTCCACAAAGTTTCAGCAGGCAGTGGCTCGGAGTGCTAGCGCTAGAGGCTGGATACCAAGTCCACGATGTTTGCTGCTATTCTAGCTGGATGACAGTCGCTACTGTCAAGTGAGATTTCAGTGATCTCGTCAGAAATGACAGAGATGATGGATTCCCGGGTATTAAGCGACTATTGCACCTTGGGGCCTGACGACGTCGTCGACCATGCCCGAAAAGGTGGTCTGATATTCTTCAACTTGCGATGCGTCAAGGATGCAACCCATATCCTTACTTGCAGCGCCGAGCATGCTACAAGTCCAGGCTTCGATTGGGACAACCTGGTTTTGACGATCACAAGTGCCCAATCCAGAGTTTCTGACGCCTTGTTGACGACAATGGACACGCGTGAGACAGAAACGCAGTGTTCTGATCGACCTCAAATTTCCTGATCGCGACGGAGGCGTAGGTCCCGTGGTCACATGTCGTTTGGTCTGCACTCGGCCACGTTGCGCCGGTGAAGAATGACTGCATGGCGCACTGCAGAGACACAGGTATGCGATTTCAAGATGAGAAGGCATGGGATTCTCGAGAATGCGGGTTTCGCTGTTTCCTCGGCTGTGGTTGCCTTTGAACCGTCACAACCCAACGAATAGAACTTGGCTGACTCTTGTGCCGCCAGTTGCTCATTGGGGCACGTCTGTCGTGGAGTAATACAATGGCCTGCTTGCTGTTGGGTTGAAATCCAGGTCCAAGATGCCCAAGTCCTCCTGCAACTCCAAGTGTGGGCGTTAACATCGTCGAACGTGATTGCAGGAGTGCAGGCATCGACACTAGATCAAGCGTGTAAGGTTGTCACCCATGAGGTGGATGTTGGTATGACTTGCATGACGCTAAACCAATCAGGTCCATGTGTGCGATTGGGATGAATGAATCTGGAGCCAATGAGGTTGTCGACGATTTCACTTCTTTGGCCCAGCTTCGGGAGCTCGGGCTCGGTCGTCGACGCTGGAGAGGTTCGGACAGAGACTGAATCGAGGTGGGATCCGTGAAGGATTGTGGCTGTCGACTCGACAGCCGTATCGACGAGCTGATTCTTCTTCGGTCATGGATCCCTAGTCGAAGGAAACATAACACCTCCTTCCCTGGCTATGACCTGGCCACAGTCGAGGGGCCAGATTCCGCCATCACTGCAATAGAGTGCAGCGTTATTCGTCCAAATGTCCCTCAGATCATGATGCCCAACAACCACCGGCTGCCTATTGCACCGAATGAAACCTTGAAAAGCGTGATCGGTTAAACATTCCATTTGTTGTGAAGGCTCGACGTGGCATCTCTGGGACATTGCCGAAGACGCGAAGTAGGCAAGGTTGACGCGCGGTGGGGAGCGTGTAGCGGCCGCAGGAAAGATTGGGTACCAAGCAGTGCATACGACCTTTGAATCGCACCAAACGCCAGTTGGTTTCGTCTATCTCGTGGACGAGCATAGGAGAACTTGAGAAGCGAAATCAGAATCATGCTCGACGCCACTGTCTATAGAGTGCGAAATGACTTGTTTTATGTCCTTCTGGTATTTGATGAGATCAAACGTCTCTCTGACATCGTGGTTTTTGAACTCATCCGGGACGAGATATTGGAACAACATTGGATGGGCATGTCTGTGTGATCTCGGTGAGAATCCTCCTCGTAGCACTTCGCTGAGAGAAAGATGTGGCACAAAGCCTTCAAGGCCTCGTCCTTCAAGATTCATAGGCCTTTCTGGAGCAAGCGCCATCGATATTTGTTCCAAGATCCTATCAAAGACTCATGTATTCATGAATCGGTGTGTGGCAGGCTGGCTTGGAGTGTCCCGTCCATCCGTAGTCCTTCGTCATCGACTGTAATCGGACGATATCGGGCGTCCAGAAGGGCCTATCGGGTGGAAACATCCCCCTTTAAGCTAAGAACCGGTCAGCTCAAGTGCGGGGGTTTATTTGGAGTGACGCCAACTGGTTTCGCTGGCCAACAGCAAATTATGGCGGACCAACGCCATGTTGGGAGGGCCGCAGTTGGTGGGCATGTCTCTGACTACGGCGACATGGCCAGTGGCTTGGTACGGCCAGGATTTCCGATATATCCGACGAAATGGGCTTTCGATTGCGGCACAGAGTCGAGAGAAATGCACTGCCAATAAATAATAGAGGGAAAGGAGACAACAACTTGCGTTTCCGGAGACACACATCATCAAGCGGTGTTAGTGGGAATGTTTGTGTGACGTTGAATTTGACATTTCCCAGCCAGGCAACTCCCGGCCGGTTGAGCACAAGGCAACTACATACTTTCCCGCCTGGCTTCGTTCCTCTACCCGTTCTGTGCGTGCGGAAAGAGACTAATGCCGCACCCTCTTGGAAGCTCTGTCCGCCTCTTCCTCGCCAGCAGCTTCCTCCACAGAACCGCAGGTACCCACCACTTGAAGGGCCTCCTTCAGAAGGCGCTTCTCGCCGAGTCTTACCTCAACAGCCATTCTCTGTCGAGTTGTCAAGCTGCCCGATGCCAGCAAAGCCTCATCTTGCTCGGCTGTCGTCGGGTACTGCGCCAGAAGCTTTTGCAGGGTGGACACAACAACGTGCTGGTAAATCTCATCGCGTTTCCGCTTGTCGGGAATAAGATCAGCATTCATCTTCTTGAGAAGCTTCAGGATACCCTTCAGCTGCTCCTCAAGCTCAGCAGAAACCTCTTGGACCTTGGCGGGGGTTGTGAGTCGCCCCTCCGAGTCTGGCTCTCCTGACTCACGCTCGAGGACAAATACATCCTCGAGGTCTTCAGAATCTATGTATTCTCCCTGCACTCCCGTTAGTTTGATTCATTTTTTCCTCTGATTGAACATTTTCCACACGTACCACTTGCTTCCAGACCTCGTCAGTGAGCTTCAACTGTTCATTGAGCACAGACTGGACCAGGTCCCACGGAATCTCAACCACATCGTAACGAGAATGCTTGGGAGTGACATAGCCGTATCTTCTAAGCAACTCAGAATTCGGGTGAGGCCCGTAATAGTTCAGAATCTCCTCTCCTGCACGAATTGTTCGCAGAGCGGTGACGCTGAGGTCATTATCACCGTGATTGACATGAGCCTGCCAAGATATTAGCGTTGGTAAAACGTCAGAAGGATGAAAGAAGAACTGCTCACGTTGAACTCTGCATCAGCGTTCAAAATATCAGCCATGGGTACCATACCCAGCATAGACTTGCCCTCGCGGTCCTCAACCCATTCCTCTTCCTCTTCTTCCGGCTCCTCTTCGTTCTCCAAGTCAAAGGCATAAGCCATGATGATGCTGCCCATGCGGTGAGCCAATTGCAGAAGCTCTGCTTCGGCCATTTCAGAGGCACCTGCAGGGTAGAAGACGGCTGGGTTGGCTGCGATTACCGACAGGATGCGCGAACGGAACATATCATCGGCTTCCTCCTTTCCAATCTTTGACAAACTAGCGCTTCCTTTGAGATATTCGAGCTCAGAAGTCTCCCAGAACATGAGTGTGTCAAACCTCTCGGGAAGGACCTCAAAATAAGGCTTCCAGGGTGAAGCATCGCCCTGGAGGTACTCATAGATCATGACGAGGATAAGAGAACCCCACGAGTCGAGGGGCTCATTCTCCATATCCTCGTCGTCTCCATCGTTGCCGGTAAAGACTTGAGGAATCTTCTTGGGAAGCTCAGACGTCTCGACATTGATGATGCTTTTTCTCGGGATGGTGAAGAGAACCGTCTCAGGTGCGATGTCCTTTGTGGCCACTGGGAGTTTGTTAGTCAACAGCGTGACGAGGAGAGGGCAAAATGACCTACCGATTCCTCGCCCGGCGTTTTGGCCTCTCAGGTCAACGATCTGAATGTCATCATGGAAAATGGCGCCCGGCAAAGACTTGAACCACGACAAAAATCTTTGCGATGTCGTCTGAAAGTCACCGCCTGCAGCCATGACGCCAACCGATTATGAGTACGAAGTCAACAGTGCAAGTAGGTGGAACCTGTGTTATAAGGAGGACGGCGTGGCTGATGTATCGCGATGTTTCTTTTCTTGCGCCAACGATTCTATTAGCCTCGGGAGGTCTTGCTGTCTGGTAATTGGAGGCCAGAAATTTTCACTGGGATAGAAGTACTGTGCGCAAAAGATCTCTTTGTCTCTCACACCGTGCTCACTGAGACCCACTTTCCTAGAGTCTAACAGACTAACACGATGTTCAAGCCCCATCAATTAACATTTAATGATAAGACGATTTGATTGCCCATGACGTAGGAGAGTGTGTTGTTGTCAATAGTTTTAAAGTGTCACTTAATGAATATTAGGAGAAGGGGTGAGAGTGTATGATTTCTGGGTAGTTTCAAAGATATCAGCAGGAGAGCGACCAGTCAGTGGTGTCTGGCTGATGAATAGTTACCACTTCAAGACGAATGAACAAGAAGACATGGCCTTCTATAAGTCGATTGCCTTCAAGATGACCATTCTCATCATCCATTTTCAGGTAGATTATGATCTTTCGTCCACTAACTATCTGCTTCGAGGGTCGAAAGAGGAAAGGAATGGAGCAATGTTTGCTAGCCAATATTCACGCAATGTTGGTTAGCCCGGATACTCAACACGGCGTTCCACTGCTTGAGACTTTGGATCATTACAGGAGCACTAGAAAATTTCAGTGGTCGGATTTGTTTTATGCTTAAATCCTAATTGCAACTACACCCTATAGAATGATGGTATGACCATAGTTAGGCATCCAAACAGGTGACTCAGACAAAATGGGCGCATGTCAGCACTTGTGATGAGAGCTGCCTCATATGGTCTAGCAAAGCTCCACCACATTGCTGAAAACCCATTGGATGCTTGGAGAATTTCATGGAAAGTGATACGAGTTGGAAGATTCCAAAACATCAAACAAAAGCCAGCGGCGCCATCATCATCGCTAGGAACCTCAGCTAGCATCCAATAGCAGCACAAGAAGTGTCGGTCAATCCCTCTATACTTATGAATATGCGTCTTACTCCTCTCGCACTGCCAACTTTCTTGTTGACAGTTGGCTTCGACCAGCCGAATCCAACCGCAACTCCGCCACCGCTTCCATCAGACGCTACGCCTTGGATACCCCGTGCCAAATGCCTACATCGAATGGGTGACGCCATCATCGCTGAAACTCATTGCGGTGACAAAGAGATATTGCGACCATGTTTTCTCGATGCGCCTAGTAAGCTTCCGGAAGGCTACATCACTCAATGCTTGCTGGATGCTGGTTGCGGTACCGGTCACGCCAGCATGGAGGACTTGTGGATCACCGTTGCTTGTCTTCGAACATTCGGCAACGACTGGATCCATCTTGAACATCCCGACGATCATGACGCAGAGTCGGAACTGGGCTACGATGATCTGAAGCTCAAGCGGGAAGATATCCTTGCTAGTGAGTACTGATTCAGCTCGATCGCAGCCTAGGCTTCAAAGACAGATGAAGCTGACCTACCAGTAAGAACATAATACATGAGCTACCATATTTCAAGATGTTTATCGATGCGATGTACTGCTTCCTTCACTTCGGGTGTTGATAGTATTACGCGAAAACCATGGTGGCACAGGGGCATTGTTATTATGGAATGCCATGAGCCATTGACTCTCCTTCTTAAGGTGCTAGTAACTTATATGCAAAATGCTACATATATATCATCTGGAAACAGACCTAAATTTCTCGTTGGATACACTAAATGACACGATCACCGACTTCCGAGGTTTCGATAGTCGTCTCATCAGCCGTGACCATTTGGCGACCCTCAAATCGAACCTTTAGAGCCTTGGAAGCGCTTTGAAGTTCATCCAAAGGCCGGAGTCCACCGCCTGCTCTAGCACGAGAGTCTTCGTCCAGGGCGACTAGCATGGCCAAAGACGAGTTTTTGGCTTCCCGGAATGCACTACGTTCTTCTCTGCTCGATGCCTGTCGACCATTCAGTTTCATTTGGCTGACGATTGTAAGGGCAAGAAATAGCAGAGCCATCAAGATCTCGACTGCAAGCATAGATATCCATCCCCAGGTGATGTGAACGTATGAGACCTGCGTTAGTGCTTTGCCAGAAATGTTGAAAGAGTTGAAGGCGTAACTCTGCGGTTGATTGACTCGCATGCTGGTAGCAAAGTTCAGAGAAGTCCAAGCTTTAAGAGCAATGCCACAAGGGGCTAACGAGCAGACTTACATTGTTGATACGCTGGTCGCAACATTTGTGTGTATATTGTCCAAGGCGATTTGTCGAAGAGTAGAGTTGGCGATGTTTTTCAAGTCATATATGACAGTTTGAAAAAGAGTCTTGAGAAACTCTTGTCCACGGAAGAAAACGGCTGTGTCCTGATACTCTTCGGTGACGTAGCTAGCACTCGCATAGCCCATGATATCGGTCTTTAGAATGGTGGATATCTTCTCTAAAGAGAAATAGCTTGCACTGTAATGTTCCTCCTCGAGAGTCGAGTCAGCGTCAAGCTTTGTCAAAAACCTCGGATCCTTGAGATGCAATGTTTCGTGCCAACGGTCGATGCTCTGGTTGCACGTACGCGATGCTTCTCCAAGGAGTGGCCGGCACCGCATGTCCAGAAAGAAGGGTTTCTCTTGTTCAACAGGTACAGCAGACGTCTCGACAAGAGTAGTTCTTTCGATACCCATAGAAACCCTTGTCTCGAACGTTTGAACGCACAGATGATACATGACCTCCATTGCTTCATGTCGAAAATTGTAAATTGCGCCGATGAGGTCGGACGCAAACGGCGCTCCGGCGATTTCAGAGAGCCCGTTATACCACGTCTCGTTCAGCTCGGTCGGGTTGGTGTAGATGACGGTAAAAGAAGATATCCTAGTTTGCTTGAGATCTTCATCGTCTTGGAATGCAAAGGTCTCACTCCCGTTGAGCATGTCAGTCATGGCCGCCAATGGTGTTTGATGAGCCATTTCCAAGCCACTAGGGAGGGATGCTCGCCACACCTTTGCATCAGGCTTTGGGAAACCCAAGACAAGGGTGTCGATCATGTCTGGGGAATCGAACTCTTCTACTTTTAAGTGTTCGGTGATGTTCGCCGTCTTTATGCAAATGCCCAGAGACTGATACCGATCAAAGGTGCAATTACCTGTAGAGCAGAACGCGCCTGTGGGTGCGATAGGCTCCATGAAATCGGTGCTGTCAGACAAAGTGGCTAGCACTAAAGCTCGGCGTGCCCCTAAGTTCATGCGGTCTTCGTCCGACGTCATGTTGCGTACAGCCGCAGCTTTGGCTTCCTCGTGCAGGGCCACAGAGTCTCGGACAGGATATTTGATGGCGAGTTGCGTTACCGGTGAAGTTAGGGCGCTAACGATCATCAAAAGGGCACCAAGAGAAACGAAGTGTTTGTATCTGATACGTTTCAACAGCATTACGGAGCCCCATGGCCCTCTGCTCGCCTGGTCGAACAATTGCAGGTCATGAAGAGGTCGGTCTTTGAGGAACCACGACCATTGCGTCTGGCTTATTGCGACAGATACAGGAAGCATGAAGGCTGCTTTTGCCAGTGTAGTAAAGAAGGCGAGGAAGGTGTTGAGCGTGATATGCAGCGGCCAGTCTGGCAAAGGTTGTTGGTCATAGCTGCAGAGGACCGCAACGATCACTAGAGTCAAAATTGTTAGTACGAAGTCTTCGACGGTATTCTCATAGAGCCAAACTTTGGAAAACGTACAAAAGAAGGAGGATATGCTGAGAAATATGTAGAACACCTCCCAGGCCCATATTCGCCAAAGCGGCTTGGCCGTAAATGGTTCACACTCTGATTTTCTAGGCGGCTCATCACTTGAATAGCCCCGTTTCAAACTTTGATAACCTTCGCTATCGATGGTGTCGAACGTAGATGTAGCTACTGGCTTTCTGTTGATTGATACGTTCATAGCAGGCGTGCCAGATTTTAACCTCGCTGTGGAAGGCTGATTGTCTGGAAGGCCTGTAATCAGGGGATTCCCCTCAATGTTGTTAAGCGAGCGTCTGGGTTGGAACTGTTCTCTTCTCGCCATTGCTGGGCGCATAGCGCTACCAAAGTCGTCGCTTGACAAAAGGGTTCCTGTTAAGTTGTGAGCAGTAATTCAGTCTGGTCAACTTTTATTGAGCGCATACCATGCCCTTGGTCAAGGTCAGTTGAGCTTTGCCTATTTCTCGAGACGAATTGTGGGACAGCTTCTGCGGACACTGGCCTTGAGAGTCGTCCACGAGGTGCTTCTTCGGGGCCAGAGTCTAGCCCACTTTCTGAGAAATGGCTGTATCTTTGGCCAAACATGATGGATTTGGGTACGGCGAATCGGGGGCAAGATTTCAAGTTGCAACGCTCAAGACGGTGCCAGGGCAACTTTTCAATTCTTTTTATGACAGCGAGTTCTTGTTGAACGGGTGTTGGACCGTTGTGGAAAGACTCAATGAAGCACTGCAAACGGGTCCTCCCGTGGTCGCCAAGTGCAACCTGCAGTACACCAGCCCCCAAACCGCAAACACATCTGCGGTGGAGTGCCATTTGCTCTCGACTCCCACCAATGAAGCCTATCAACTATTGCCCCACCTAAAAATTCAAGGTTGAATTGCATACGAGCAACCGCAAACTGGAAGGCGATGAATGCAGGCTGCCACGGCACGAACAAAAATAACAATGTCTGCGTTGAGGGCAGGTGCCGGGATGAGAGAGAACCGTCAGTGGTTGGTTATGGCCAAGCACTCAATTCGGACAGAGGTTCGACTTCTAGCCGAGTGATGCAGTTGGACCTCAGTCTACCTGCCCGAATCGGCTCGTGGCAGAGAGCTGAAGTCAGACAAACGACTTACGAGCGGGAAGAGCTGATGATACCTTGATCCGTGATGACTGATGAATCAATCGCGGTGGAGAAGAATAGACATTCATTTCTCCTCAAAGAATGCACCGTTTACATTTCCTCTGTAGCGGTTCTTCAC